AACGTCAAAATTGGGTGCGTCGCCAGTACTGTTTTAGTCAGGGTCAGAATTACTCGTAGAATGATAACCAGGCAAGATGAGAAAGGGTTGAAGATGGCAATGAGTTCTTTCTCAATACGATGTTGCTTAATAGGACTACGGAATTATAGGGTACTTCTTTTTGTTTTGAACGTGACTGCATCTACAAAAGAAAAATTCCTTCTTGATTAGTACCACACAGTGGAAAAGAAGGAAAAAGAGGAAGGTAAAAGAGAGAAAAAAGAAGAAAAATGTTAGTGAATTAACAAAGAAAGAAAGAAAGAAAAGAAAAATACAAAGAAAAATACTCGCCCGACAGCAGAAGTTGGAATTGTCGTTGTCGTGCGTGGGAGAAGTTTGTTGTTGGACGGTGAAGATGTAGCTGGACAGCTCACGGTGGTAGAATGGAAGAAAGCCAGGGGATCACCGGCTTATTCATATCAGGGTCAGCTTTGTATTGTAATATGGCTTTTGACCAATCGTAATATTAAGTTCGCTATCCTGTGGTCTCTGAGACATGTTATTAAGTGTGGGGTACCCTAAAGTGCGCGCAGCTGTTATAACCTTGGTGGTCGGTGTGGGGATTACGGTAGGTTGTCACAAACTATTGGAAAATTAATTATCCGTGCGAGCTCAAAGCTCGAGTCGAGCTCATTACTTCTCGGGGAAAGAATTCCCTCGAAGCAACCCCTGAGGGGAAGAAGATCCATGAGCAGATTGCCGACCAGATTGATCTCTACTTTAGCTCGTTGCACCCATACGTGACAATACTAGCACTAGCAACGTAAGTGAACCTCTTTCCTTCCCGTTTTTTTAATCTCCCTCTATGTAATGACAATACATATATCGAAAATTTCTAGCATTCAAACGAACTAGCGAAAAACATAGAGGAAGTGAGGGTGTCGCCCCGTTAAACGCTAGTGACGCCATCCGGACTAAATTGGTCCGAACACCGACAGCAGAGATAAGAAGGAACACCATTCGGCCATATTAAGACAATTTCTTATGTAATGAAGACTTATCATAACCTTGTTGTGTTTTTTCTATAAATAAAGCATTTAAAGAAGTGAAATTTCGGTGAACTCGCTCGGAATCCAGACGATTCGCGAGTTACTCCATGCCTCTGGAGGTGTAGGTGCCTAAGTTTTATTACCTAATAAATAATTTGTGTCCTGGTGAGTGAAAATTCCTGTTGAAGACTTACGCGTGCTACCGTAATTGCGATCTCACTGGTTGTGTTTACCTGGGCGATGGTCCGGCAGCAGACAGAAGGCGAGAGGCTGCTAATTATTAATGGTCGCAGCAGCTATTACCTTGCATATGCCACTTCCTAATGCTTCAGCTCGGTCCGACTTGCGATTATACTGAACCTTCGTGAACAGCTGCTGAACGTTGGATAGTGAAGGAAGGCTTATTTGTAAAGCGCCAACCGGACCGATTGCCGGTCACCGGAAGTCTCGCCTAGAGATGTTCGATCTTGACTGGATACGAAGTGCTAAATAGCAGTCTCTCTGGTCTGCTCACCATGTGGTTCGTGAATTCTGCGAGCCATCCACCGTATCCTGTTACAATGGGAGGATGAGACTAGCTACTTCTCATCCATAAGCATGCTTCGGGAAGCCTGTCACGTCAGTTCCTGGAGGGATAGAAAAGTGACAGACAGGCTTTCCAAAAGTGGTATCATAATGGCGATTGAGCCCTTATCTGATAATTATATCGTTGTTTATATATAGAAACTGAATTATCGTTAGCTGCAATTTGTAGAATGTCCCTACCTTCTGAACTAGCTAATAGACCAGAAGTTTAAATTTAGGGTCGTGGTCATGGTTAACGATCATTGTCTGTCTTCAACGATCATTGTCAGGAAAAAATGAACAAGAAAAAAACTTATGTATATAATGTAATTGGGGATAAGGCTTCTATTTCTTTTTCTTCTCTTTTTACGTAAGAGCACTTTCTCCATAACGCCTATTCTACTCTTATTCTATGACTAATCAACTAAATTTAAAATCATCTAGGAATTAGTTGTTGACCTTGCACTTCACGTGCTCTGCCGTACATTATACGACCAATGAACGCATAAGATCAGCAGCAAGACGCTTTGCCTGAAGCTGTCCTTGAGAAAATTAATACGTACTCAATCCTCAACATCCTATTTTTGAGTTTTTGGCTTTTTTTTTAAATACCCGGACGAGTGGATGCAGTAATTTTGTTCGGAACTGGGATAAATAAAAGGAATGCTGAATAAATTGGAGTCCACAATTGTTAGCAATATCAACACCTTGAGGTAACCCAAGTATCGATTATATGTAGACAATATGGGTGGGCCGTGATATAAGGGAACTCGTCGCCAGGACCATTGAACTACTTGTTGTAGCTTTAATGAAATTACAGTCAAAAAGTGCTCTGAATTCACACCATTTTGACAAGAAAGACCGTGTTCTAGATGCACGCAGTATTTCTACCCATAAATTTAAGGGCGAGATGTCTAATTGTACCGCTACCTATAATGATAATGAAGAGAATAATGACGTATTGAAGGTACCGTTCGTGGGACGTCCCCTTTATAAATATGTACTTCGAGATTAATTGACTTACCTCTCATCGCAGGGCCCATTTCCCTTGTTCATATTATCTTGAATCTTCCAAGAATATCGCGACGACACGTGCACTTACAAGGGAAGGATACTTGGTAGCAGTGGCCATTCGAGATGAGATGTATACCCCCATAGGTGATTTCGAAGGCTGATTTCAAATATGTTTTTTCAAATCTGCGGAACGATTCTGGTAACAAAGTTACGGGACCGATGCCTCCCTGTGTTATAGCACCGCACCGAACGGATCACCGAGTCGAGCAAGCACAGTACTGTGAAGTGGTGGTCCAGCGGCTAGGGCGGTGGACTGGTAGACACGACATCAAGGTTCGACTCTTGATGCATGTGCTCGTTTTGCTTTTCCATGAAATGCGTCCTAAACGCTTGCAAAACATTTTTGGGCTCAATGTTGCACATCTACAGGGTTCTCTCACAATTTAGGAACACTGGAAAGGTATTAGAAGGCGAGTTTTTTTTTNACCAGCGAATCTTCTGTACGAATGTGGTGTCATCATACTTCAGGAATTTCGTTCTTGCAGCATAACGTGGGCACCATCTAGGAATGAAGGGCTCTCGAACCGTACTTATCGATGCTATGAAAACAAGCCTATCCTTTGCGAGTAAGTGGAGTCCGTGAAAGGCGATCACAATGATCCTCTGCGGTCCCCTGATGAGGACAGCGACGATGAACCCGTAACGTCGCGGATGAAACCTCCTACGTTCTTCGTGGGGAAAGAGAGGTTCCGAAGTGAAACCTAGCCTTCAAGTTTGTGATCTGGCCTATGAGCTCCAAATTTGTGACGCTTGTAGAAGGATCCATAGCCCCCTGTAGGTGGAGTGTCAAAAGGCCGCACCTCCTCGAACATGAGGAACACGTGTCGTACTATCACGACAGAGTGTCATCCACGGAAATCAAGAGCGCATGAGCTTTCGAATTAGTCTATGATTGACAAGTTACAATGTCTTATGTGGCCGCAACTATCAGGTGCAAAACAAGCTGGTTGATGTTCGTACTTATGGAGATTAGCGGATAACTTGGAAGGATTAGTTATCATAAAGTTAATATGGGAGTTCCATTGCACGACAGTCATTACCACTGGATACCACTTCATATGAACAGTTAAGGCTTATAGGGGGAAAATTCAGAACAATTCGTGAGCGGATTCACGGTTTTGAGAACATCCATTGTATCATGTTCCATCGCATCACCACGTTTACCTCATGGAATGGCTCATTGAAAGGACGTTAACCTCAAGAATGAGCGGATAATCATAAGTGCACACAGCGATGAGCTATTGTTCTACAGTATTTCTTCAACAATCCCAATTAATTTGTATCACTGCTTCGGATGCGCGGACAGTATTCCTAGAATGAGTGTACCGTATCCCCCCCAAAAAGAGAGGTGGTCGGATGAATCATTCGACAGCCGTCTACCGTAAGTGCAGGGGGCTGCCGAAGATTTCGAAACGCTCTCTTGACTGTCAGGGGCAGAAAGGCGTGTGTATTCGGTCAACAGTGGTAAAAAAAATTTATTGGATTACCATTCCCGGAGTACTAAATTGTGAGGGAGCCCTATAGATGCTCAACATTGAACCAAAAAAACATTTTGCGCGAGTTTAGGACGCATTTCATGGAACAGCAAATCGATCGTATGCCTCAAGGAGTCAAACCCTGATGTCGTTTCTACCAGTCTACTGCACTAGCCGCTAGGCCACCATTGCACAGTAGTGTATTTGCTCGACTCGGGGATCCGTTCAGTACAGTGCTATAACACAGGGGAGGCATCGGTCCCGTAACTTTGTTCCCAGAATCGTTTCGCAGATTTAAAACACATTTAAAATCAGCGTTCGAAGCCACCTACGAGCATATATATCTCATCTTGAATGGCCACTGCAGCTAAGTATACTTCCCTTGTAAGCCTTTTTCTAGACACGTCAAGATTGAGACCGATCACTGTCTTCATTCGCACGAAGAAAATGACCATACGATCGGAGACGGGCTTCGCACTTTTTATTAACAACGGCCGCTACACCGAATCGCTCCCTGATGACGTCATCAATTGTACGGCCTAATCGTGTTCCTCCGGCTGTCCAGCGTAGCGCCTTGGTCTCCATGATGCCAAGACGATCTTCTAATTCTTTGGTCGTAGGCCAGTACTCAGCACCGTAAATTGCGACCGGCTGGATGACGGTTCTGTAGATTCTGGATGTGAGACGCTTAGGCATCTTCTTTTCGCAGAGTACGCCAGTCATTGAGCGCCCCTTCATCTACGCTGCATTCACGCGAGAATTCGTTTCAAAATCCAGACTGCCGCCAGACGCAATCGTCGACCCATGGTACCTGAATGTTGTTGTTCGTGTGAGCTCAGCAACAATGATCTTGATAGAACCTGGCTCGCTCGGATTGGTGGTCAAGTACTCAGTTTTTTAACGTTTAACCTGAGCCCGTACATAGCAAGACGGTCGGACCACTTTTGCACCTGTTGCCCGAACGCGCTTTTGTCTTCGCTTGCGAACATCGCGTCATCGGTATAAAGAAGCGTTCATAGAGCCTGCTTCTGGAGGATTTTTGTAAAGGTATCTATGACGACCACAAAAAGTAGTGAAGGTAACGCAGAGCCTCGGTGTACTCCGACGGAGATGGGAAAATCCGTCGATATGCCCGCTGCCGTTTGCACTCGGCTCTTTGGGCTAGAGTAGAGGTTGCGCACCAACTCCATGAGTTCTTTGGGAACGTCATGCTGTCGTAAGGCATACCATGTAACGTCACGTGGAAGGCGATCGAAAGCTTTCTCGAAGTCTAGAAAGGCGAGAAGTACCGGTCTTTGCTTTTCGCGATACTTTTCTACTAGAAGGGGTTGGTGTGTATGGCATCGCTGGTGCTGCAACCAGACACAAAACCACACTGATTGGTGGTCAGCTAGACAATGTCGCGAATATGACTGTCTACAATTCGCTCAAGGGATTTTATGCTGTGCGAGAGCAGGCGGGTTGGACTGTAACATGCGCAGTCTCCAGGACTGCCTTTCTTCTTCCACATATTAATTGCCTTCTATGTTGTTAGCTCTCAGGCATCTCCCTCTCTGCGACGACCTGGTTGAAAAACTCCGTTAACCACCCTGCAAGATTTCAACATTTTGATTCCCACAAGTCCGCCGCTAAGTCGTCAGGACCAGTTGCTTTGCCTGATTTCATTCTCTTCATAGCCGTAATTGTCCCCGCACGGTTATCTTTTGAACGGGGTCGTATACTGGCGGAGTGCGAGGGATGGCGGGATGAGCTAATTTGACTGTTAGCATGTTTTCGAAGTACCGCGCCATCGCTTTAAAGCTTGCTTCCGCTCCTTCAGGAGGTTACCGTTCTCGTCATTTATGCCAGAGAACTCTTTGTCCTCGGTCTGGCGATAGCGGGTCTTTGCGAGTCGCTGAACATACCGCTCCCATCACGAGATTACTTTATCTCTGACATGGTCCGTCCACAGCCATGTTTGCTTGCCAACCTTTCGCCATCTAGGCTTGGTCACGCCGAGTTATGACCGCGCAGTCCCGGTTATCCATTCGACAGCGCCCTTCCGAGTTTCGTCGACAGTCGTTAATGCTGGAGACGACGGCCGCTTCTTTCTCCTTCAGTCGCCACCACTTGATTCTCGCTGACCCACACCTTTCTGCTAATTTCGGTTTCGGCGGGGCGATCTTTAATGTACAAACCAGTGGTCGGTGTTGTGTTGCGACCGTTTCATAGGGAACTGTCTCCGCGTCGGTTCGAGCCCCTGATTGCGGTGCCTGACAAGGACAAAATCAATTTATGTTCTATTCCAAGAGGTGATGAGATGAGAGCCACGTTTCAAGATTTCGTGTTTACAATGGCGAGATTATGCGAGTCTGCATCTTGAAGAATTTGCACGCCATCAGTGTTACGTGACCCATATCCAAAACCACCATGGCAGCTATAACCGTCTTTCGTGGCGCCCACATGACCGTTTAGGTCACTCGCGACATCCATGGCTTCTTGTAACGGTACTTCAGCTATCCTTTCATCGAGCAGGTTCCAGAACTTGACCTTGGTTTGCCTGGAGCATCCAGTCTGTGGAGCATACGAAGAAGAAATGAGAAATAGAATGGAATTTCTGAGAAGAAAGGGAATTTCTGGTGTTTGATGACTAGCACGATCTTCATTAAGCGTTCATCGGAGCGCTGCATGCCTACCTTCGAATCACGGAACCGTTCAGAGACTATCACAGAGAACGGCTTTGAAGCCGTGGCCAATGTCCCTCGACTTGCAGCAGGACCAGTTCGTTTCCTGCACGGCACAGAAACCAATTCTTCGACGCTCTAGAGCTTCTGCTATCTCGTGCGAGCGTCCCGTTAACGTGCCCACATTTAGAATCGCAACGCGAGTCTTCTATACGTTGCGTGACTTTTGGACTATCTTAGTCGCCCCCGATGCCTCCCTTGCACCGGACACCCTCGCATACTTTTCACACTCACCAGGTCTTGTAAGTGCGCGTCGGCTCCCACGGACGCCGTAGCATTATCTCGGGATATGACAAGTGACATTAACATTTTTAAAATTTTTCATGACACGGGGGTGTTCGTAGGCCGGAATACCACGGAGGTCTGTTGTCTGCATTCGAATGTACGCGATCAGCTCAGCCCACAGAGTGAGATTTCCCAGTGGCACCCCTTGGAGGATCGGACATCATCACCATTCAGCTTTCAACTATTGCCTTATGATTGCGCCGAATCACAAACTGTGGTTAATAGGAAAAGAAACACCAAAAACGTCTACTCCATCAAAAGACAAAGCAAGGGGTGAGCTGCTGGATGGGACGAAAAATGATAACATGATAATGGGCCTCCCTTATCTGAGGCTGCTTTGTACCACAATAAACTGGGTCTGCTATAATGTCCCATCGCGGCTGGGCCACGGTCCGCCACAGCCTTGGAGGTTTCTGAGACGACCGTCTCCAGCATAGTACCTGCCCAGGCTTCTAATCAAATCCATGGACGATATTTTTACCAGAAAGATTACTCCGTACCTTTGCTAAAGCATGTAATTTTCATGCTTACAAATGCAAGGATGAAGTAATGAAAGTTCAAAGCGAAATAGAAGGTAAAGGAAGCGCCTTCAAAGAAAAAGCGACAGATTCCCAACAAAATGGTATTACTACAGTGCGTTTGCAAATGATACAGCTACCCCTGATTTCCCCAAAAACTAACAGTATACGATGTTTCTGAAAAGTGCCAAAGTGAAAAATGTGTCGAGCCTGAATTGCAATTCGCACATTATCACCAAATTCCAGCTCGAAAACACAAACTTTTTTTTGATCAATTTATCAGTTAAGGGCGCTTTTCAAACGTCTCCAAATGATACAGCCACTGCATGTCTTCGTGTCCTATTTTAGTTCAACGCAACGAAACTGCTTCGATTATGTAATGTTCTTCATTTTCAGGCAGTGGGAAGAGGAATTTGCTTTCGGAATTCGAATAAGGTCAAATAGTCGTGAAAAAGGAGCAGGGACTGTCAAATCGCAGAATCGCGCAAGATTTGGGTCGATGTCACGCAGTTTTTGATAATTTCATCAAAAGTCCTGAAGCCTATGATAAACTAGAAGTGCTGGACGTCCTTGTTGCTGTCCGACAGAGACAAGCGCCGTACTTTGAGGGAAGGTCGAACTCCACCAAGTCCTGTATGGAAATCCGGTCGTTTCTGTCTCAAAAAGCACTGTTTGGAAGGTGATCAGAAAAACCAATTTCATTTTCTACTTCGTAGCGGAAAATTCGTAGCGCGTCCTTCATGACAAAAAGATCTTGAGGAAATCGGTCGCTTCAGCCGGAGCGAGTGGAATAAGGTGTTCTTCATGTGCTGACATTTGACCTTCCTTCTCTTGATGGTTTTCCTTCTTCAGGTCGTTTTTTCCGATGAAAATAAGTTCAATTGTGATGGTCTAGACGAGAACCGCTTTCACTGGCACGACCTGAGAAAGGAAAAACTTAAATTTTCTAGAAGGGAGGAGGAGTCATGGTTTGAACCGCATTTCATCAAGTAGGCGTGTCCTTTTATCATTTGTACCAAAGATGATGAACTCGTCCTCTCATTGAATTGTTATGCGCCAGGCACTTTTCCCTTCTTGTCGTCAGAATCGGCACCCAAATCTTGTTTTTATGCAAGATAACGCCCCAGTTCACGTCAGCAGGAGCATCCAAGCTTGGATCTCTCGACACTTCTGCCCTGACATGCGAACAGCCCCAGTTTGAATTCGATGGAGAATGTATGGGACTTCATGGTGCGGAAAATTTACGCCCAAAACAAGCAACTCCGAGACGTCAAGGAGTTGAAAACAAGCGATTATCGAAGCATGGCACCGAGTTGACCAGGAGCTGATTGATAATTTTTTATTGGAACTTAGACCACCGTATTTTGGAAGTAATTCGAAAAAATGGTGGGTCAGCTGTTTATTGACTTTGTGACTTTCTCTGCTTGTTGTATATTTGTTGCTAAATCAACTAATTTTGTTAGTGGCTGTATCATTTGGAGACGTTAGAAAAGCACCCTTTACTGAAAATTGACCAAAAAATGTTCATGTTTTCGAGCTGGAATTTGGTAATAATGTGCGAATTGCAATTCAGATTTGACACATTTTTTACCTTGGCACTTTTTCGGAGACATCGTATAGTGTGAGTTTTTGGGAAAATCAGAGGTGGCTGTATCATTTGGAGTTGCACTGTAGTTCTGCGAATACTACGGCTATATCTGCAAAGTAATGGTCTGTTATTCGCTACGATGAAGTGGCTATCCGGTACTGCAAGAAATCCAGTTTTACGCTATTCGCTACTTTTTGTTTATGTGAGTGAACACTGAGATCAACAGGTTCGTTCAAAGATCTTCAGCAACAATGAATCAGTTAACATCCAGCAAGTGGAAGGGTTGTATGGATAACGCCTAGGCTGGGAGAGAGGAGCAACACCCTAAAAAATTTCTGGTATAGGTGAGAGCGTTCAAATGGTCTTTTCTCATATCTGATTGTCAATTTGGTGACGATGGAGCAAGATACTTGCATGAACAAATGAGGCACCGAAAGCTGTCGATAATCATTTGTCGCTGGCCTCTGCGATACTGGCCTTAATGAAGGTTCTGAGAGGAGCGACCCCTATAATAGCTTCCCTTTTTATGTGGGTGAGAAATACCATAAGAACTGTGTTGGGGGCGTCGATGGTCATGTAAAGTTGCTCTCTTATTCGGTGCACCATTAGTCTGTGTTCTTACAC